GGCATCAGTTGGTTATGTGTTGATGGATATTGCCGTATGGAATGAAATGGTTTTTTATGAGGATATACGCAAGCTTCACGAGAATGGTGTACACAAACTATTTGAGTGGTCAGAAGCTGCTGCGGACGTAAAAGCAAGTGTTGAACGCATCACTAAACAGTTTTTGGATGCGGCCGTCATTGAATCGATGAGCCCAATGACGAAGAATGCACCGATGAAACTGGAAGGGTTTTACGAGTCTGTGTACAATGCGAGGTGGCACCATGTGGCGGAAGTTTCTGACGGCGAGGGGACGCGAATGTATTTGGGGGAGGGGGAACCACCGCAGCCATGGAAGTACAAGGCAGTTGGCCCAACCCTCGAAAAGGATGACGGTGCGGAGGAACCTGGTTCACCACGTCTCAGGCTGATGGTGCTCACTTCGGACAAGGGATGGCCGTACTCGTGGGAGGAGGAGGACTCCATTCGTGACTGCTATGTGAACTGTGAGGTGGAGCGAGTGTGGAAGATCGTCAAAGGCGATCTAACCGAATTGTTCAGCACTCGCGTTGAGATCGGCTTTGTGCCTGGGCGACGTGTGTTGATTGGGACGCCCGGGATGGGGAAGTCGATGAATGCCGGTTCGTACCTCCTCTACCAGCTGCTGCACCACGATGCGGAGCAGCTCCCAATGGTTGCGTACTTTATTGGGAATCGAACATTTCTGTTTGACAAAATCGCAAAAACGGTGTCAGTGTACATGGGTGAGGCCAGTATCCTCCGTATTGTGGATGGGTTGTCTAGGCGTGGTGTGAAAGGGTATTGTATCTATGACGTGGCAATGAAGGGTCATCAACCGTCTATTGGTTTGCCTTGCAAGGGATGGGGCATGATTGTGGTGACACCACCAGAAAAAAACAACTACGAATGGTGGGCGACTCGCAGGTGCGCTACGCGAATCGTAATTAATTGTCCCGAAGAAAACGATGTGAAGGCAATGTGCGCTTGGATGAAGCGCAATCAGATTCCGCAGGAGAAAGCGGAATACTGGAAGGAGGTGAATGGTCGCATGAATAAAGTGGGACCAATTCTCTGCTTCATCTTTGGCAAACAGGCATATGATGACCGCATTAAAGCGTGTCAGCAGGCCGTGGATGGGATGAACGCTTTGAAATTCGAGGGTTACTTGGATGTTGGATATTGTTGTTTGTCCAATGACAGCGACTTGTCTCGAAAGCTTGTGAAGGTTGTCCGAGTACGACGAGGATACAACATTGAGTCGCCTCTGAATGTACTGATATCTCCCCATCTCGAACGTGAAACATTGTCCAGGCTGGAGAATGAAATGAAGCAGTCCGATTTTATTTTGCTTGTTTTGAGGTTCTGGGATTATGTCCCACCATATCTTATTGAAAAGTATGCCGTATCCGCATTTTTGAATGAGGATTTCCTGCGTGCGATAAGACTCAAAATCAAGGAACTGAGGCCACCAGGACGAGGTGAGCCACACAGCTGTGCGCTGAAAGAGCACTCAGACACGAGCTTCACCAGAAAAGAGGTTCTACCGCCGCCCGAACGCCTTTCCAATCCGGTTGCCATGGACCACTGGGTGCTGTATAAGCCGAAAGTACAAAACTTTCCGCTGGTGGACGGCTTTTTCTTTGTGGACACAAATCCGAAGACGCTGGTTGGGCTGCGGATGACTACGGCAAGTGAGCACCACATCACCGCCAGCACTGTGAGGCGGTTCACTGAGTGCCTGGCGGCATATTTTGAGGGTTGGGACGAGTTATCCCGAGACATGTCGTGGGAGATTATTTATGTGCAGCACGCAGACAGCACGCCGATGGAGGAATGGCAGAGATGTGATGTCGTCAATTCCAATAATGTGGGCGACGATGAAAACCGAGAGATTGCGGCGTTCTGGAACGAAAAGGTGCGTCAGTACATAGCAGCGGTATCATCCGCTGACGCCAGAAGAGGCGAAGTTCTCCGGAGTTGAGGAAGAACGAAATAGGAGAAAGAATTAGGGAATGAAGGGGGTAGTTTTGATTTCTGGTAAAAAAAATATTGTGGGATTTATTTTTGGATAATCGTGTGGCTACGGTGCGGGTGCACCAGCACCAGACGGCAGTACACACAGATTTCAAAAATGCCCAGCTCTATCGAACCTAACAGTGACCGAAGAAATTAGGGAGGGAGTGGGGTTGTTTGTTTTCTGGTAAGGAACATTGGGTGATTTTCATACAGCATGTTAATTGTATGTGCATAAGAGGCATAATCGTGGAATTGCCCCGGTATGAGAAAACTATTGTGGCTGGCGGTGCTATGGTGTTGCTGCATTTTCCATTTTATTCTATCGTGTTCCAAGACCCACCAATAACAGAAGCATCTTTAAGGGATGAACAAAGAATAAGTTCTATTGAGGAAAGGGTGCACTCCGTGTGACCGCATGGAGTGGGGCACCGCGTCATGGATGAATAAGGATCCGTTTCCACGTGTAACTGGAGTGGGTGATTGTTCGCTCGCTGTGCGTTGTGTGTTGGCTGCGGGGCTGTGGCCGTATCCCGTTGGCCGCGAGACTGAACTGGAGGCGGTGGCGGTGTGTTTCTTTTCCTCGCCCATTGTGGGTGAATGCGGGCGGTGTGCGCGTTTTTTGTGTGGAGGACCGAATCCTCCCACGCGCGGACTGACGGCACTGCGATGGTGTGTGTGTGTGTGTGTGTGTGAGGGCGATGTTGCTCCGCGCTCTAGCTTCCGGATTCTCTTGTGTCCCGCTCTCCGCATGGGTGCTCTGCTCTGCTCCCCACTGACGTGTCTGATGTATTGCCGCTTTTTTCTTCTTCACTTATTGAGCACTGACACACGCTAGGAAGGAAAGCAAACACGCTAAACGCTACTGTGAAATTCGAAGGCACTGAAGGGACCAACAGCACACACACCGCCCACACACACGTATTAATATGCTCTCAATTGTTGCTGCTGTGAAGGCACCCTGCACACACAACCGTCGCCGCGTGACCGGATCCAGCGGAAGGAGGAGGGAAGGAAGAGAGAGTGAGCGGCAGAGGCCCAACATGTCCCGGCATCTCTTCTACTCTGCGGTGCTGCTCCTCCTCGTCGTGATGATGTGCTGCGGTACCTGTGGAGCTGCGGCCGCTGGAGGGAATAATGGGAAGAGTGATTTGATAAATATTCATAAGCTGCAGAGGGTTTATCTATTTGTGCCGCAGACGACGCTGGTGCAGCCGACAGATGGGACTGTTCCAGTTACGACGAGGGATTCATTTGCGTCACTCTCTCTCGTCAGTGCTGGTGGAGTAATTGCTGCTTTCGCCGAAGGTCACATGGATGCCGAGTGTCAAGGTGCTCCATTAATTAGGCCCTTTTCTTCTGATGTGGTTGCGGTGTAAATCGTCTCTGCGTGGGGTTGGTCCACCGTTGTTGCCGAGATCAATAAAATTACATGGAGCGCAGACACTGTGCTTGGTGCAGCGGAGGCAAAAGAACAGAGTTTGGTTGTTTTTGGCCAACCGACAACAATCACGAGGGGCCACGGAGCGTTTCCTCTTGCGGGAGGCTCTGATGTGTCCTACGAAGGTGGGTGCTGGAGAGATGGCGGCTTGGAGCTGAAACTGTTTGTGGGTGATGTCACGAATCCCACGGGTGGCAAGCAGAGTGGATGGATCGAATGTGGCGACCCCAAACCACTCTCGAAGCTGATCACTTCTGCTTCTCACGAAGGTGACTGGACAAAGTTCATTGCTTCTGGTGGTGCAGGTGTAGTGATGGAGGATGGCACGCTTGTGTTTCCTCTGATGACGAAGGATGAGGCAGCAGACGTTTGCTCCACGATCATTTACTCGGCGGACAACGGCAGCGCCTGGGCGCTCGCAGTGGGCATGTATTCTGCGGAATGTCTTAACTCCCACACCACCGGATGGGAGGGATCACTTCTCATGATTGTTGACTGCGGGAATGGCCAGAGGGTGTACGAGTCGCGTGACGTGGGGACAGCGTGGACGGAGGCACTTGGGACACTCTCAGGCGTGTGGACCAATTCACAATCGAAAGTCATTTTGGATCTGAGCTCGCATGTGGATGCCCTCATCACCGCGACCATTGGGGGCAGGAAGGTCATGCTGTACTCACAGAGAGGAGACTTCTCGGGGGAGAATGCGGTCCACCTTTGGGTCACGGACAACAACCGCTCGTTTTGTGTTGGGCCGGTTGCCATGGAGGATGGTATGAATTGGTTGTTCGCCAGCAACCTGCTGTACTCGGATGGCAACTTGCATCTTTTACAACAGAGGGAAAAAGATGAAGGCAGTGCAATTTCACTTTCCCGCCTGACGGAGGAACTGAGTGCAATCAAGTCCGTCCTCAGTACTTGGGCGCAAAAGGACGCCTTCTCCAAATTGACCACACCCACGGCGGGTCTGGTGGCAGTTTTGTCCGATGCGGCCAGCGATGACACGTGGAACGACGAGTACCTTTGCCTGCATGCGACGATGAGGAATGCAGTGAAGGACAACGATGGGTTACAAGTGACGGGACTTGAGTCCAGGGCAATATGGCCTGTGAACACTCGGGGTGATAAAGTGCGTCATGTATCTTTGAGCCACAACTTCACACTTGTGGCGTCGGTGACCATCGAGGTGGCACCGAGTGGGAACACTCCTCTACTGACTGCGGTGCTGGCGGACACTGCGTCCAATCATACTGTGGGACTGTCGTGCAGCCATAATAAGAAGTGGGAGACGGTGTGCGAAGGCAAGACAACAACACGGACCAGCACTTGGGAGCCGAGGAAAGAATGCCAAGTGGCACTCGTGCTGCAAGGCAACAAGACCTCTGTGCACGTTGATGGTGAGTTTCTGAGGCAGGAAGAAGTGCTGTTGACAGGCGAGAGGCCACCTGAGGGTTCGCTTTGACGCGTGCGGTGGACAAGAATCTCATGTGACGCTGACGGACGTCTTTCTGTACAACCGCCCACTGAATTCCATTGCGATACGTGCACTCAAGGACAGGGTCCCCGTTCCGACGAGAGAAGCAGCTCCGACACCACCCGAGAAGATCAGAGTGGTTGACAGCGTCAGAGAGCACGTTGCTGGGGATATTACAGAAGAGAAATGAATGGGCACGACGCCCTGGAAACGAATCCCACCAAAAAAGTCACCTCGCAGGGTCTGGAGCGGCGTGAGTCCCGACGACCGCCTCGCCTCTCCCAACGACGTGAAATTGACACTGCGTGATTTAAGCGGTAACAACACCGTGCGTGTGTGCGTGTCTTGTGTGCCGCTGCTTTCTCTGGGATTGTATTTGTGTCGTTGCAGTCTTCTGAGCCACAGAGTGTGGATTAGCGACTCCTCACGGAGAATACACGCCGCATTGCCTGTGCTTTTACTGTCGGTTTCTATTTCTTCAATTTCTTTACTTCGTAATGTTCTTTTTTCACTGTAGTTCAGCTGGAGTAATAAGTACTGTTGTTTTTTCTTTGCCTAATGTTCGGTTGCTGCACACTGTAATGAGCGAAGTTTTCCCCCTCTT